CAATCTTCCAAAACATGTTTTTCAGTTGTTGAACAAATCTTCTTGTTTGTCATGTCAGATTAATATACTCTTTTTTGTTTAGTTTCAAACCTGACATAGGTATAATAACCATGACTCTTTCAATAATAATCTCATACTACCATTTATCATAGTTGCCAGTCTTTCAATCTTTAGCTGTTATAGGTAAACACTTAATCCTATAATTAGAAAACTTTATTAACCAAAGTGCGGTGACACAAAGATTCTATGATGAAACAGAATTTGATTTTCTGTACAGCAAGTTTTTGATCCAGAGTTAGATGGAATCTTGTGAGAAATGGTCGACAAGGAAAACTCAACATCATTGTTGTCTTTTTTTGGCAGGCACAGGGGTCACTTGGAATTTTTGATCTTATACACAATATGATAGGTTCTTTTCTTACTTTTGCCAAAACTTTTTCTGCTTCTGTCTATAAGACAAAATGTTTGTACATATCTGGTTGAACTGGTTTCTGTCCTTTTGGTGTATATTCTTCAAATCATCTTTTCTACCATCCACTATGTATAGATAGGACCCTCATGTAATTGAAGCTCTTAGAACAATTTGCTTGGATTTATCCTTCTGCTTTACTCAAGCATATACTCCTAATAAAAGGTCAGCCCCAGGAGCAGTTCTACTTGTACTACTTAACAGGAATCAGGGCTGCAAAACTCTTCGAATGTAGAAGACAGAAGGGGGGTTTTTTTTTTAGAATGTTCTTCGTTCTCCAACCATCTTTTCACTATTTTTCATGCAAGGACAGGCCTAGTGCTGCAGGTGCCATCGGCACCAAGTTCTAGAAATTTAGGTTTGTTTCTCCTCAATTTTTAAAAGTTTTCAATGATATCCTCGATGAGTAAAACTTTTTTGCCCCTCAAAAATTTTCAAATTAACTTCAAAGTCTATACTTGCACGAAATTTCTCCCTTCAAAGAAAATGTGTTACTTCCATAATTATAGTCACTGGCAGATTCTTTTTTTTTTTTTTGGGGGGGGGGGGGGGGGAACTGTCATCCCAAAAAAAAATTCCTTTACATGTCGTTAAAATATTAATATATTTTAGTAACATCTTTATAAAAATTAGAGTTTGCCCTCTCCCTCTCCCCAAGTTAAGATATACTTTTAATGTATATCTTTTCTAGTATTACTCCCCAACTCTCATGAATTTTTGGTTCCGCTAATGACTATAGCTGTGAACTCATTTTACTAAAGGTGCTATGGTAAAATTTTTTGAAAAACATCCCACAAGCAACTACTAAAATAGAGAGTTATCCCACCGAGTAAAGTTTTTTACATATATTAACCTGTATATGATAAATAGATTGGACATTTGAATTGATCAAATTAAAAACATCGTATCATCATCATCAGTTGTTAATATTTTATACGTTGAACAAAATGTAAGCATTTCCCATTAAGGCATCTTAAGTGCTTGTTTGTTTGTGAAGTTGATGTTTTGAGGGATTGTATATGTTCAAGGATCATTTAATAATTTTTTACAGCTTACAAATTAGAGAGTTGGCCAAGAAAATGACAAGGCATGACCAAGAAACTGTAGTGTTGAAGGACTATCACGGCACCTAACCAAGAACCATCATTGGGTGGAGACTACGGACATATGATACTTCAAACTTCAAATATCAAGAAAGTGGAAAAGATGGATATTTGGAGCTCACAAAACCCAGAAATTATAGTGTGTCTCTAGCAAATGGCAGCTTCTGTTGAAATATGTATTCCCTTACTTGCAATATGGGTTTACAGCACACATATTTCCTCCCAACAACCATGTGCTTTCTTTCTCCCCTTTGATATATCCAACATTGACCTCATCACAGTTAAAAGTTTCTAATTTATCAAGGTTAACATGTTGACAAGATGAAAAAACATGTCCAAAAACAATAACTTAAAATAAACTCTAGAAAATAGGGCTAATTTTACTTTACTCCCTTTAACTATATTAGATTTTCACTTTGGTTCCCAAATTTCAAAGTGAGACACTCTAGTCCCTAAATTTTAAAATCTATCCTACGTAAATAAAATTTGTTTCACTTTAATCTTTAAAGTATATAATCAATTGGATTAATCTTTCCTACACTGTTAGTGTATACACCGACGAGGTTGAATGTATGCCACAACATTTAAATTTGAATTTAAACATCAAATTTTCTGTATGTGTCATGCATCTAAACCCGTTAGTGTATACACTGTCAGTGTATACAAGATTTACCCTAATCTTGTATACTTTACTTTCGAATGTGGGACATATTTTGTACTTAAGTGTGACAAATCTTATACTTTAGGGATTAAAGTAGGACAAATTTGACTTAAGTAAGAGAAATTTTATTCTTCAAGGACTCAAGTATCCCAACTTGAAATTTCAGAACCAAAGTAAAAATTTGAGTATAATTAAAAGGTGCAAAGTGAAATTAACCCCAAGGGAGTACTCAGCACTTTTATAGAACCATCCTTGAATAACATCAGGGCCACATTCATATCAAAATAATATTGACAACAGCACCACTAATAACAATACAGTCTCTTTAGTTTTGTTTTTGGGTTAAATGCGGAATTTAACCCAAAATTTAAGCAGGATGTTTGGAAAATCATTAATGGTGCTTGCTTTGGAAAAAAACAAAAAGAAAATAAAATTCTAACAAAACTAATGACTTAACATAAATGTACATTAATTACCTTTAAATTATTTTACAAAATTTAAACTTATTTTTTAGTGTAAGTGGCAGGGATCAAATTTGGAACCCCTCGATTACACTATCTCCTCCCTCCCCTCCACCATGAATCACCCAACCCATACCCTCAATACAAAATTTAAACTCATACTCTTTAGACTGTAACCCTCTCTCAAGCATGAGAAATTTTTTTTCCTGCAAGGAAGTATTTTCTTCATATTAGTTACATTTTTATTGCCTTCAGTGAACTCAAGATCCAAAAGGGAGCAAAAGAAGATCCCCATAATCTCTGACAAATCATCCAAATTTACATTTCATAAAACGCAGATATTGACATCTTGAATAGCAAATGCACCGCTATTTAATTAATGCAGACATTGACTAGAAGATTTTGTATTTAATCTTAATTATGTCTTGCATTCATTGTTGTTCTTTTAAAGAAACAGAAATTAATACAAGAAATTTCAGTTTCGAAAAAATAGGTATAGGGTACTGGGGCCAAATTGGTTGCCAGTTTAGACACAGTGAAATTTCAAGAATGTTCCATACACTTCAAACAGCCTGTCTCTGACTACACGTTTATGGCTCCCCTTAGCTGTATGGCCTTCTGGAGCTCAATCTCCTCTCAACATCCGAAATTTGATTGCTACTCAATTTGTTTTCTTCGTGAATCATACAATCAGTACCATCAATGTATGGTGGGGTTATGTACCTATACTATTGGATTGGATTTACATTAATTTACTAACGTCCCCTCTGAGTTGCCGCGATTTATAAAAAAGCACTTCTGATAGAAGTGCTTTTAATAAAATTGCTTTTAAGTTATAAAAACGGAGTTTCTTAAGTTACCAATTATCAAATACTTTAGAAGTACTTTTAGTATTCAAAAGTGTTTTTTTTTTTGTAACATATTGCAACAAACGGGGCTTAATTATTCTACTATTACTATATTACAATTTACGATAATAGGACTTGAATCTAAGAATTTAACGTCTTTAAGTTTCAGTGTTACCTATGAAAATACCAGCACCTCATTGGTGATTAGTACGAATTAGAAGGATAAATATTTGAGATGTTTGGCAATAATGACATTATTTCTCCAAAAAAAAAAAATGAAAAAAGAAACTGACATCGTAAGAATTTGTCCCGGAGGCCCCAGCTCATGATCATCATTTGAGTCCATCCGCTACTTTCTCTTTTTTCTCATGCAAAAATTCTTGGCCTAATGCATTTAATGCCAAGGCTACTTAAAGACACAGAACAAACTTCAAGCTTTATTTACAAAAAAAAAAAAAATTATTTGCTTCACGAAAAAATCTTAACATTTTATTGAGAAAAGTTACATTAAATAAAATTTAGAATGAGTGAGTTAACGCAACATATTTTACCTTGCAAAAGAATTATTGCATGGTTCAAGAAAGAAGCATTATTTCGTTTTACCAAAATTCTTACATTAATACTTTCTTTAGAAAGAGTTAAGACTGTTAATAAAACGACCATATTTAAAGGAAAAAAAAAATAGAAATGGACATTGTGAGAACCATGGAGGAAACCAAAATAGGCTTTTTTTTTTTTTTTAATTACAGTATAATATTTGTGATATTCGTAATCTTCAAATCTAGGCATGATTAAGCCATTTTTGGCAGTAAAAAAGTAAAGGTTTGGCCTCAAGAGTTTAATGTGTAGTGCCAAAATCTGCTCTATTGAACATGTTCTTACATCAGAAACAAATGTCGAGAATGTCCATATTTTTTGTGGACATTGGAATGCAGTGAATTACTCAGTTGATGCCTGCAAAGGTACAGCACAATATATAGCTCACTTCAGTTATGGTGCAGTCCACTGATTTTTAGCCAAAAGAGGCTGTGATGGTAGATGCTGAAAACTTGGATCAAAGCCTACAAACCATCTAATAGAGTCACTTAATATGGGCATCAATGGCCTCCGGCTAGTGATCAGGAAAAGAAAGTTCCACCACTCCTACTCTTTATATTTCCCCTAGAAGTAACTATACCGAAACAATAAAAGCCAAAAGAAAAGCAAGAAGCATAAAAACTTGCTATCATTGTTCATTCAAGTTCGTCCTCCACATTAGAGAAACTACTGAGCAAGGACTGGGAAATCTTGCCGCAAGTCCAGCCAAAATCTAATATGGAAACTGTTTGCTTCAATTGCAATGCAGTAATATAGATGCCAAAGGTGTTCATATGGAAGAAAAGAGAATGCCAAGGATAGGAGATCTCTTTAGCCAGAAGAAAATAAGTACTCAACAAAAATAGTAAGTGACGATACTGGTGCCCAGGGAAAGCTTAAAGTCCCTCTCAATAATTCAATCTGAAATGATCAAGCTGATAAAGTTGCCTAGATTATAATTAGCAATTTAACAAAATTATCAGAAGCCTAATTTCTGAAAAGACATGGATCTATCACGTTACTCTTTGCTGAAAATATAATTAGCTAGCCCTAATTCTAAATTACAAACTCAGATGGTAGCTGTTCTGAGAGAACAACTGAAACCAAGCAGCTCAGGGCACTTTAACCTTCTATTACTTGTTCCTTGTACAATATACTGTTCAAGAAAACACACAAATACAAGCTACCTTATCTATACATGGACTAGTTGAAAAAAAGAAAAAGTATGAAATGCGTCAGGTTGTGTATCACCATTTACACAGACGATAATCTTTTGTTAAGTCACTTTCTTGAAGTGTCAAACTGAGATTTGATTAAAGAGATCATCCTTTTCCAGAAAGATGATTCGGATCCATAGATCTGTACCCTAGCTAATTTTCTTGAACCTTCTCTAACAAATTCCAGGTCTTTGGCAAAGTCATTCTGAAAATTTTCAGCGCTATCAAACAGAGGCAGTGCTGCTGAACCCTGGGATTCTACATTTCTGATCCACCAACGCAATAAGAAATTCACCACCTGTGTGATAAAATAAATTTCAGACAGAGACATTTGGACGATAATAGGCCAGAACAGAACCTCTGCTGTAAACAGAGGCAATATTCTAAATGGGAAACCAATTTTGCATGAAACAACTATACTAGCGATTGTTGGTAACCTGCAACCAGGCAAACAAACTAGTGCCATAAATTAGCGCTGCTAATTGATCAGTGTTGCCTACCTCTGGAACTTCATCATGAGGGCAGTGACCAGCAGGGCTAATCTCATAATATGGAGCTTCTGGCAGTTGGCGTTTCACTTGTAAACCCCAGATCGGCTTTACCCAAGGATCTTCTTTGCCATACATGAGACAGACAGGTACGTTGTTCATTTGACACCTGCAAATTCAAGCTGGACGTCAGACCATAACTTGGTGTAGTGAAAATAACAATACGATTAAGCAATTATTTTGCATTTTATTGCTCCTGTCATCTGGCTACCTAGATAAAGAGTCCTTGAACGTTAACTGTGCTTGAGGAGCAAACATAATAGAAGCAAATGATGCAGCAGCCGCTGGATGCTTTGTTATCTCCAGTATACTGGAGAACACCTTATCAACTTTTGTCGAGTGATCTGCATATACTTGCTTAAGTATCTCTGCAATACTTTCAGGATCACTAATTTTCTGCCACCTAAAACCGCAGTGGAAATGGAGAAATTAGGTAGAGTTTAGAGCTTTTCAGCCAATTGAAAGCAGTTTTACACCGAAAACAGAAGTTTCTCTCTTCCTAAAAAATTTTCTAATGCAACAGTGTGATTCTCATCCCTCCTTTTTTTGGTCAAAAGAATTTGACTATACACTTCTAGACGAGTAATCAACAGGCTCCAGTTTTTTAAGACAAGGGGTTTCGACTAGTGGACTTGCATCCAAAAATATTAAGTTGAAACATTCACATCAACAGAAGAGTGACAGAACTTACACAATTTCCGTAAGACTTTTAATTGTGGCAGGAATAGGGAATGTGCCAGCCCAAGGAAACATGCTTGACCATCTAGGAGATTTCATAGGGTTAGGAAGAAATCCCCAAAAAGGAGTAGCATTAAGCAAAGTTACACCTTTCACCAATTCGGGATAGCATGCTGCAAAGTAGACCGCGATATATCCTCCGAGTGAATTCCCAACAATATAAACAGGTTCTCCAATCACCTGTGGCATAAAGAGACAATGTAATCACCTATTGGGTCAGGAATCTCCAGTATTAACACCAAAAAGTAACTTGGAATCCTAAAAGCCATACCAGGCAAATACTAAAGACATCTCCACTGAATAATTGTAATCAAGCAGATATTCTCAAAAGCGTGCAGAATATAATCCCTTACATGAAAATAAAGTTATAGAACAACAATGAAATCTAGAGAAACTAACAAAAAAAAAATCCATAGTGTGGTACAGTTCTTATTTGACTGGAAGATAGATTGGCAGCATAAAAGTTAACAATATTGGTGCTGGCAAGCATAAACTTTAAAGTTTGAATATAGTGCCAAAAGTGATTCTATACATTGAAAACATATTCCTTTTTTAAGATTCTCACTAATCTGTTAAACTATACTGCTGTGATTGCTGGACAAAGTTAGAACAATATTTATTGAATGGCATGTAGTGAAGAAAAAGTTCTCGCATACAATCTGATTGCAAAACAATCTTTGAGCAGTTATATAGTACTCAAGAAAAATCATATTTTCTGTGCACATATTTAAACATATACCAAATGCGAGGAAATTAAGAGTGTCTAAAGTTAGTTCACACTCTACATTCCCAAGCAGACCATGAATCTTACCTCCGTCTAGGCCTCAGGAATTATATATCTATGTCATATCGAGAATTACAGGTTCTGCCATTAGCTTACATATATCTGAGGGTTCAAATGTTGTTTACAGATTCAGATTTCAAGTTAAATCTGTAGGTCAAATATTTTAGAGGTACTTTTTGCTATTTCATCAACTTTTATTGGCTAGCTATCATGCACTTTCCAGTACGAAATTTCCACTCATTTTTGGGGAATCAGACCAATATTACTAGAAGTAAATAAATTCAGGAACAACCACTCTACTGGTAAGCACATAAAATTTCATGGACTCCTGACATATAGTTTGATAAACTAGCATTGTTGTCATGCTTTATTCAGTTTCCACACTCTCTTTCTAATAAAGGTCTGACAGAGCTGAGATTATTCTCCAGTTAAATAAGCTCTATCTGACCATGTAACAGAACTATTTTGAAACAAGCATGTTTATCCAGTAATTTTAACATTTGTAATATTCCCTGTACCCAGCTTCTAAAAGACTATTTATGAAGAGTAACAAGTAGCAGGTACATCATAAGTTTTAAAACCACAAGAACGAAATAGATGCCCTGTAACTGGTGACAAATGTAAAAAAGATCAAGTATTAGATAGTTACGGATTAAGCATAGCACCATTTTGTGCAAAGCACTATCAAAGGCAGTATGACGGTAATCAATGGTTGAAAAGTCAAGACGAAATTGTGGTGCCCAGGCTTGCAGATTGTGACAGAAATCTACAAAATATCTTGAGATGACTGAAGTTTCCACTACAAAAGGAATTGCTGAACAAGATAGTAGGTAGCAATTGGTCCCATCCAACATAGACTTCCCAATATTTTGTGTAAGTGATACAAATTGCAATTGCAGAAATAATTATTTCAGCAGCTAGGAATTCGTAATGGTACTCTAAGAACTTCTCAGTTGATCAACTTTTATCATGGACAAGACTTAGCTCATCAAATTGCAACAAGAAAAATAAAAAAAGATGCTATGTAACAGTCTAGTGACAAAATGGAATACCTATAGCATCAATATGGAAATTCAGTTTCACTTGATTTGGCCATAAGAACTACAAATGATCCTGTTGTCAAGAAAAATGACTAAACCATTCAAACTCATCTAATTGTTCTGCCAAAAACATTATTTTTGAGGAATACTATTGACATTTGGTCCCCTACTCCCTCTCTGATATGATACAACATCTATGCTAGCAAACATTAGTTACTTAGCCCCATTGTATACCTGCTTATTCCTATTTATGGTCAATGAAAGTAAATCAATTAATATTTTGGGATGGACAACTTGAAGATAGATTTTGCAGTGCACCACATCCAAAGAAATGTTGTCATCATCCTTCTTTTCAGGCCATCTTGGTGTAGGACGATAAACACTCAGCGAATAGCTAATGTGACAGAGGACCATCCTCTATAATATACGCAAAATTTTGTTCATCGTCACATAATGTTTAATGAATAGAAGTTTTAAAAAGCTGTACTCCAGTTGAAAACCTAGTCAGATGACAGTAGGTACCTTATTGAAACTAACCAAACACAAGTATGATGCAGATGTGAGATCAATTCGATAACATATCAGAGGGAAAGACATTTATAATAAAGCTGAACAAAATGCGTTTAAGACATCATCAGTTTAATCTTGATACTCTCAATGTGTTGACACACATAAATAGAGCAATCAGCAGAGAGCAATACTATAAAAAACCAACTGAATATGCTACTCGACCAAACTCTAGGACCAAAACACAAGATGTTACACACAAGAATCTCATAAATACTCTTTGATAAAGCTAAAAAGTAGTAAACCAAATTATACCTCTTCAATGAAGTAACGGACTTGGTCCCTCCATAAATCAGAAGAATAAACAAGCTCTTTTGCCCAAGGTTCAGTCTCATCTCCAAAACCCCACAAGAAGTTCTCCACACCTGATTTCAGGTTGTCACCATTCTTTGTCTGTCTAGTTGGATCTTCACGTGGTAATGACAAGCCCTGCCCAAGAAAATCGACTGCCCATGCTCTAAAGTCTCGACCCAGATCCTTCAATTGTTTTTCATAATGAAAGGAACCAACTCCAAAACCAGGAAGAAAGAGAACCGGGGGAAAATCAACATTCATGGATCCTGCTGTTTTGTAGTGAACATTAAGTTTGGGCTTCCATTCCCAGGAACAACTGGTAATTGAAGCAACAGAATCACCCTTGTTTTCATCAGGCAAACCAGGAATCAAGACCTTAGGTACAGTCTTGTCACTATCAGTAACATTCTCTTTACCATCAAGTACATAGGAGTTTAAACTTTCACTCAAGACGCTTGGATCACCATGTTCATATCCCTTCAGAGTACTTAGTGTCCTAACAGTGTGAGCTCTTCCAAGCCTCCTTATGGCTAATTGATCTAAATAAGAATGTCTAAGAGCCTTGAGCTTACATTGACTGACTACAGATATCAATCTTCTCTCCTTGAAATTCCAAAGTTTTGCTTGATTTGATCTTGGGCTTTTCCCAACAGCATACCCTCTAAATTTTACTAGATACTGGCCATGCATAGCGTGGCAAGAGATAATTTCCATAGCTCAGAACAGATCTCTGAAATGTTCACCAAAATGATTAATTGAGCAAACACTACTACAAAGCATTTGCTGATGCAGTAAAAGAGAAGTCATAGTGAAAATCAAAAACAAAAAAGAACTGAACTTTGTCCTTTGTATAATTTGTTTCTTTCTTTATCTACCTAGTTTTGAAAATGTCGAGGATCTTTTGATAATCCCGACTTGATGAATGAACCAAAATAAACTTCTTAATCATCTTACTCCCAATTAAACGAAACTGAATATATTCATTCCAATTTCACTCATAAAATTCATTTAACCGATTAAGTATGTTAGTCGTAAAATCCCTTCTTTTTAAGAACATTTACAACTGGAGAACAAACCAAAAACTCAAGAAACAGGATCATCTAGATACAACATCAAGCAACTGGAATAAAAGCCATAAATCCTTGACAGCAAAAGCGCAAAGAAACATTTCTAGAAAACTAAACCAAGAAAGCAAAATTGGCCCAAACCCACCTGACAAAACACCCAATCAGTTAATCCCAACAGACCAATTTTTACAATTAAGCAGAAAAACTCCAGTCAGTCCCAAGGAAGAGTTTCTTGTTTTATTACCTTCAGTAAGCAGAGCAAGAAATCATTGGCTTCAGCTCCAAGAGAAATCTTAAGTTTGTTTATGTGGTAAGAGAAAAACAAATACCAGATATTCCACAAGTATCCAGAGACAGAGAGGGTGAGAGAGATTTTAGCAGTTACTTAAAGGGGTGTGCTTTGTCAGAAAGCCAAAGAAAAATCAAGAATGATGAAATAATGGAACAAATAAGTTGATTGTCGTTTTCCTTTTAATTCATTTTCACAAAATTTTAGTTGGGTTATGTGTGGAACATGATGAACTCATGGAGTGCACGTAATGGTTTATGTCTGCTGACTTCTCAAGCTTTGCTCTGGGCCTTTCCGGTCCACTACGGTGGCAAACATTTCCTTCTTTACTTCTTCCTTTTTCTTTGGTGTTTTTTTTTTAAAAAAAAATGGCAGAAAAAGAGATAATAAAGAAGCAAAATTCATGCGCAGCGCGCAGCGACTAATTTTATCAAATTTCCATAAAGTATTTTCGCATTTGAAGATGAACGAGTGAATTATTTTCTGACTTTCTTTGAACTTGGCAAATTGTTTTCATTGTAGATAAAATGCTTCATCCATTACAAATTATGTTTATAAACAACAACAATGCCAACCAGTTAGACATGCGCCGCAAGACAGCGCGTGTGCATATAGAAATATACATATTTGTATGTATGTATAAAACGTTTTGGTGTATAAATTTTTAATAGGAAAGCAAACAAGTAAACTGAAAAGTTTCCGAAAAAAAAAAAAAGAATGCACAAGCTTAAGGATAGAAAAGGAAAGTCCTAACTCGCAAGGGTATTTAAGTTGACATTTACAGTAACGTACATTCCTTTCAATAAGAAAGCTAACCGTCTTTTCATTCGCGGTTCAGCTATATATTTGTCTGCAAGGCCTCTAAAATCACAATAAGACCCGAATCCCATAGATGTTTCAGCTACTACTTCCCCTTTTTATGATACTAGTTTTTTTCAGCCTCACGCGATGCGTGAGGATGCCCTGAGTCTATGTTAATCAAGATCAAATGAAGGCAAGTGGATTAATGTAAAATGGTTATATATTTAATACATGATAGGTGCTAATAAATGTGGGGAAACAATCTTTCAAGTGAGAGTGGCTATAGTCCACATATTTAGCTCTAGGAGCTCTAAATGTTACAAAGAATAGCATTATCATCACTTAGTGGTCATTAAAAACTGACCATCAAATTTTAATTGCATAAAAACATTTCTCATATGCATAATTTCCTAAAATAAAACAAGCCTCAGGAAAAAAATCAAAAATAGACAATGGGAAAAAGGACAAAACAAATAATTATAGTACTATGATTTACAGCCAAGAACTACTTATAAAGCAGGTAGCTGGGGACCTACTTATAAAGCATGTAGTTGGAAAACCACATGAGCCAAGAACTACTTATAAATTACTGCCAGATGAGCAAGTTTCTTATAAATTTTCTTACTTTCACATATCATGGAACCCCCATAAACAAGTAGTTTTCTTGTCCTTCTTGTCCCTTAAACTATATTCTGATCCTGTCAAACAAATAGCATAAATGACCTTAGCTGAACAAATAATTTGTTATTAAAACTTTTTTCAGCAAATTACTAACCCTGATCAAGAGAGGGGGTATTGGGAATAGAAATTGAGAGTTTGAAAGGCAAGGAAGAGGAGAAGGCAGCTGTGGTGGTGAGAAGTTGAGAGTTGTAAGCTCTGAGATTAGGAATAGAAATTGGCGATATGGGTTGAACATAAAACAGTGACTTGGCTTTGTGGCTCATTTCAGCCTCATTAGATAAGCTACGCCCAGTCATAACCATCTAGATCAAGGACATTGGTTAACTGCAGAGTTTTTTTTTTTTAAAGCTGAAATACAATTAGCAATATGCAGTAACTTGCAGATGGAAAGTACCTTTAAGTTGTACTCCATCATAGAGCCTGCCTTCTTACTCAGCAAAGCCAATGCCTTTGTTGAACAAGAACTCAAGAAAATCAATAAGTACAAATTTGATGTACCAAAAGAAATATGTACCAGTCCATGCTCTAAGTTTATGCTTTTTAGTGTGCCGCTTAACAAAAAGCATCAAATCCCACTGCATTTAACAGCAAAATACACCCAAAAAAAAAAACTCCAGTTAACAATCTAAACTCTACAAGAATGAGCCTAAACAGGAGAACTAATCAATGATCAGTTGCTTCTCTATTTTGTATTTAACTACCATGAGAATAACAGGCAATCATTTGCACAATCTTGTCCCGTTCTTTTGTTACCTACATGACTGATAGAACTACCATTTGAATGCAAACAGGTCGATCCAACGCGATGTCCATCTCGATTGTTTATTCCTTCAGTATTGATACCAATCGTCCCCTTATAGCTCAATTCCACAAATGAAGGGCCGCTAGAAGGTTGCTCGATAGGTACAGAAAGTCTTGTCCTCGCAGCAGTATCTGTTTAAAGGAATAAATATTTCACTAATCTTTGAATTAGCATCGTTAATACATCTAAAGTCCAACATTCCTCACACCAATCGTAATTTTCGAAAACCTCAACAAATCAGCAGAACAGAAGCATTATGAGGAAAGAGCGATATATGCTAAATACTCCAAGATAACTAATATATGAATAATCATAGTACACACACCTCGGCATTCTCCAGAATTGTCATTAGCACTCGCATTGCCACGCTGCCGTATGTCTCCTCGCATTCCTCTCTCTAGTCGCCTCTTCCAAGCTTGCATATTTCCGTGGACGACCCATTAAAGAAGCTCAGCTATATACAAGTAAGAAGGTTTCAATAAGAGTAGTACCATAACTTTTGATTCACCTAACCACAAACAAAGCTTACTCCCATGCGCAGGCTCCATAAGAATTGAAAGGAAATAGGCCGAAGTACAGCATATAAAATACCGGTCACGTTCTAATTTATATAAACCTCAATGATTGGAGAACAGACATGCACGACAATCAACAAAAGCAGAATAATACCAGACCAATTATACGTTATATCTAACACAATATAAGTTCAAAGCAGCGAAGATTAGGGGAGAGTCCTAAAACCGAGACTGGTTGGGCATTAAGTCTCATAAGATCCAGAGAAATGATTGAATTAACAAAATCAAATTGAGCTCGGTGGAGGGAATTAAATATAAGATAGGTATATATCTTTACTACAAAATCAGATTGCCCTCGGCGGAGGAGATGGATATAAGATGGGTATATAACAAACAAAACCGATGAGGCTGGCACTTCCAACTCTGCCGATCACAGCAAAATCGCAGAGCTAGTGTTGCACAGGCTAAGAAACGAACGAGATTGGTGGAGGGAATTAAATATAAGATAGGTATATATCTTTACTACAAAATCAGATTGCCCTCAGCGGAGGAGATGGATAGAAGATGGGTATATGACAAACAAAACCGATGAGGTTGGCACTTCAAACTCTGCCGATCACAGGAAAATCGGAGAGCTAGTTTTGCACAGGCTAAGAAACGAACGAGACACAGTAATGGAGATTGCAAAGCCTGCGCGCACCGGTTGTTGCACTTTGTCCAGAACACTTACATTTAACTACTTCGCTAAGAATGAGCAAGAACACAGCCACCGCGCGGACAGCGGCAAATCGAAGGCCATGCAGACAGCTCATAGCGGCAAACTCACCGGCCACAAGAAAGCCACGCGGACAGCATTGAAGTTCCAAAGCCATGCAGACAGCTGATAGCAACAAACTCACCGCCCACAACAAAGCCACGCGGATAGCAGGAAATTTCCAGCAAAGCCACCACCACTGAATGGCAAAAGACCAAACCACCCCTCAAGCTCACACAAATCACGCTATAACCGGCCCATTTTCACTGTAGCTAAGCCAACTGACACTTTTAGTATAGTAAAGATAATAGTACAGGAGAAGAAGCCCAGCCTCAAAATTTTGGATTGATATAATTGTCTTTTTATCTCACATATATCCTATCACAAAAAATACTACAGTAATTATCTCAAATAAACTCCTATCCAAACAAATATTTTTTGTCTTTTGAACTGGCTTTCAATCATTTAAATTACACATTAATTCTTCAAATTACTCTTGGAAAGGCTCTGTGTCTTTTCTTTGTGAAAATAGCCTCTTCATTGTAAATGTAAATAACTTTCTCTTGGTTTTCTTCTATGTGTTTCTATACCTAAAATTTTTGCACAGATCTTTGTGAATAATTTCTTTACCAAAATGATTAGTTATGTACAAATTGTTGGTGAAGTCGAGATAAATCAAATTCCCTAGCTACTAATTAGTTTTATTCCCCTAGCTACTAATAATTAGTTGTTGGTTGTGTGTTTTCCATTTTAATTTTTTGACCAAATGAATCTATACGTATCAAGTCATTCTCGTCACTTTTCAATTTTTTCAACAGAAATTTTGCACATACATCACAATTACGTAAGCCACCATAGTACATAATGTTAAACTTAAGGTGCATTTGATAAAATTGAGATTTGAAATCTGAAATCTGAAATATGAATCCATTAAGTTATTGAATAGTTAAATATTAAATGTGATACATTTGAATGTATATCACATTAAACCTTTGTTTGATAACCCAATTCAACACTTAAATTTAATAAAATTATAGTTTAATATATTCAGATCTTTAATAATTAAAAATTGAATATTTGAATTAATTAAGTGGCATTGAATTTTCTAAACAAAACTTGATTTCGAAATAAAGTGATAAATTATTCACTTATCATTGAATGTGATATGCACTCAAATGTATCAGATTGAATACTTAACAATTCAATAATTTAATGGGTTCAAACTTCATATTTCAGATTTCAGTTTTCAGATTTCAATTTTATCAATCAAATGCACCTTAAATGATAAGTGAATAGCTTATCATTTATTTTTAAAATGAAAATTTGTCTAAAAAGTTAGTGTCACTTAATTAATTCAAATGTTTTATTTTTTGTTATCAAATGCAACTGAACATATTAAGATTTGAACCCATTAAATTTAAAAGCTGAATTAAATTATTATACAAGTCCTTAGTTCTAAAGAAAACCCAGTTCTTGTTGCTCCCACAGTGGTTATGAATAGTACAATCAAAAGAAGCGGATTGCATTATCTAGAGCCCAGCAAAAGCTGGAATTATAGCCTTTGGAAAGGTCACTCTGCACATCTTGAGCATTTTTACCAACTAGATAGCTATATAGAACAAAAGGTTAACCTAAATCAACACTCAAGACTAACATCATGTCTTCTTGGTGATCATAATGTCGGTACCTTCTATAGGAGGCTTGACAAACTTTCTTGGAGGACATGGCATTCCTCTATGCCCTCAAAGTAGCTTCTCTGAAACTTCTGTTTCTTTCCTTGGATGTGATCCTACATGCACTTCTCACTTGTGACACTAACCTGACAAAGCACACAACTGCAATCACTTTCTTCTTTACAACTTCTTCTGGTGGTACAGCTTTCCATTCTGGAGATCACTAATTCAATTGTCTCAAATTCATCCTATTGGGGTTGTGGGCCAACCCATTTGTGGGCCAAACCACAAAACCAAACACTTTTTGGTTTAAGTAAAAAATTTGACTTGGATATAAACAAAAAGGAGTAGCAGCCGCAAGAAGTAATTAGTTTTCGTGTGAGAAAAAGTGCCAGCTGTCACCTTTTGCTAGTTGGGAGAAAAACGAAGAGAGAGAAAGAGCTAGAGAGAGAGAAACCTCAAGGTCTTGCTGAGACGAAATTTTACCCGCGTGATCCTCTCTTCAGACTCTACTCATCTATCGATTCAGATTTCAGATTTCTCTTCGTTTGGTAATACCTTTCCAAACCCACTTCTTTGACATCCAAACCCACTTCTTTGACAGTTGTAATTTTTGGAGGTGATTTTATAGTAATTTCGCTTAATTGGTATTGGTGATATTATTGTCATGCGAATATTTCAGATAGACCTGTGTATTCTCATTATTGTGATAGTAGAGATTTTTTATTGGATTAGATCCCGTGATTTTTTCCAATTTGGATTTTTCACGTAAAAATCTTGGTATCCCGTGCCTTTATTTTTCTTTCATTTTATTATCACTGTTGGTATTATTATTTAGTGATTTGATTTATTCCTATTTTAACTGATAATTGGGAAAAAAGGAATTTGTCTTGGGCTAATTCTCATATTGTGTGCATGTACCGGTATCCCTTTCCTAACAAGTGGTATCAGAGTAGTCAGATTAGGCTGTTCATTTGTACTAGTTAAAAATGGATGATTTGGATAGTGGTTATATGATAAAATTGAATGCCACTAATTATTCGATTTGAAAGACTACCTGTATTGCAGAGATTTGTTTGAACCTGTTCTAGGGAATAAACGTATACCAAGTGTTATGAGTGATGAAAAATGGGCTGTTTTGCACAGAAAAACTGTTGGTAATATTAGAAAATAAATTGATCAAAGTATTTTTCAATATTTTGCTAACAACATCAGAGCTAATATATTATGGAAAAAGCTTGAAAGTATGTATGAACGGAAGACCGGTTTGAACAAGGCTAGTTGTTTGAAGCAAATTATTCGGATGAGCTATAAAGATGGGGAAGATATGATTGAACACCTGAGTAATTTTCAAAAATTGATAAACCAGGCAACTACGTTAAATTTGAATTTGGATGACGAAATACAGGCTTCATTATTATTCAGTTCACTACCGGATAGTTGGGAAACTATGTTGGTCTCCGTCATCAATTCAGTTCCCAATGGTGTGTTGACCATGGCTATTGCAAAAGAGGCCGTGATGAATGAAGAGTTCAGAAGGAAGGAACAAGAAATTATCTATGAGTCCCGGCCCTGGTGACGGAAAAGAAAGAAGGAAAAGGGAGAAACAAAAGTAGAGAACCCCACAACAGGAATGACAAATGCAGAGGCAGATCTAAGTGGCGAAAAAATATTGCATGCTATTATTGTAAGAAGAATGGGCATTATATGAAAGAATGCAGAATCCTAAAATGGGAACAAACTGAGAAAATGGTAAGGAGAAGGTAAAAGGTGATGAAGAGATTACAGCAGTTGTGGCAGCTCATGATGATATGTTTGTGTTCTGTGATGATGGTCAAATGAATATTACTCATTATGACAGCGATTGGATAGTTGATTTGGGTGCATCCTACCATGTTATTTTTCACAGGCATTTCTTCTCAACCTATATCGAAGAAGATTTTGGATATGTTAGGATGGGAAATGAGATCTCATACAAAGTTATTGATATGGGAGACATATACTGGATGCCAACTGATATTAAGAAATGCTCGACATGTCCCTGATAGTCGCCTTAATCTTATCTCTACAGGAAAACTTGACGATGAGGGTTACCATAGCTTGCAAGGTGGAGACAAATGAAAACTCAACAAAGAAAATTTCGTTATTGTTAGAGGAACGAAGCAGAGTACCCTCTACTTAATGCAAGCCAAGTTGGGAAAGAGAAAAGTCAATACAGTTCGTAATTTATCAATTGACTTTTGGCATAGACGACTTGGGCACATGGATGAAAAAGGAATTCAGACACTTGTTCGCAAACAACTCCTATCTGAAGTTAGAGGTAATGCACTTAAACCCTGTGTTGACTGCATTTATGGAAAATAACACAGAGTTGCATTTCAAAATTTTCCTTCATCTAGAAAATTGAATCCGTTAGAATTGGTGCACATTGATGTTTGCTATATGAAAGATAAGTCTCTTGGTGGTGCTGTTTATTTTGTAAATTTTATTGATGACTTTGCTAGAAAGGTTTGGTGTTTTGCCTTGAAATCCAAAGATTAGGTTTTGGATGTATTTAAAGATTTTCATAACAAATTGAAAGAGAAACTGGCAAGTAGTTAAAGTGTATTTGTACTGATAATGGTGGTGAGTACAAAGGACCATTTAAAATCTAGTGCAAGTCCCGTGGGATCAAATTGGAGAAAACTGTGCCAAAAACTCCTCAAGAGAATGGAGTAGTAGAGAGGATGAATAGATCCATCACTGAATGAGTCAGATGTATGCTCTCTAATGCTAAGTTACCAAAATCCTTTTGGGGTGAGGCAATGAGGACTGCAGTTGATTTGATCAATCTTTCTCCATCAGTTCCTCTAAATGGTGACATCCCAGAGAAAGTATGGATGAAAAAAGATATATCTTTTAAGCACTTGTGAGTTTTTGGTTGCCGGGCATTTGTTCATATTTTCAAAGATGAGACGTCAAAACTTGATGAAAAATCAAAGCAATGTGTTTTCTTGATTTATGGAAATGAAGATTTTGGTTATAGGTTGTATGATCCTATTGAGAAGAAAGTGATCAGAAGCACAGATGTTGTCTTCTTTGAAGATCAAACCATTGAAAACATTGATAAAAGTGACAAGTCAAAATATTCAGATGACATTCATGCTAATTTAAATTCAGATCCAGATCCAATTACAGTACCTGTTAATTTTAATCAAGGGGGAGTTGAGAC